TATAGGATCATATACATCTCTAATATTCTAGATTTTTGAGTTTCTATTTGAGTTTATCTTTCTTCTTTGAAAACCTTGTATAAGTCTTTGGTTTGCACTTGTTGCTTGCTGGTTATTGGTTTCAGCTTGTTGGTTTCTATTGCTTGCTTGCTACAAGGGGATCGTTGATTGCTTGCTGGTTCATTGTTTGAGCTTGCTGGTTGATTGTTCGTTGCTTGTGGGGTTCCTTATTTGAGCTTGCTATTTGGCTAGTTGCTGTTACCTTATGTAAATAAATTTGTAATTAGCTTGATTGCATTTGAGCCTTGCTGGTTGCTTTCTGGTTAAGCTTGCTTGCTGGTTGATTGTTGCCGCTTGCTGGTTGCTGATTTCATCTTCCTGGTTGCTGTTACTTTATATAAATGAATTTGTAATCAGTTGTAGACTGCACTTGAGGCTTACTGGTTGCTTTTGGTTTGAGCTTGCTTGCTGATTGCTCGTTGATTGCTTGCTAGTTGCTGGTTTGAGCTTGCTATTTCCTGGTACTTTGTAAATAGTTATAATTCAGATTCAAGTCATGGTTGAGCCTTGCTAGTTGCTTTCAGTTTAAGTTAATATTGGTTCAATGGTGGCATTGGTTGCTGGTTGCTTCTATGAGGATTTATATTGGTATGACAATGATGATTGGTCGACTTTTGATAATGCAACCTATAATGTGATTTCTTTATTTACTAGTGTCGTTCAATGATGAGAATGCAATTGAGATTATATTTGTAATTTTTAGATGAGGCAATTCATTTTTTGAATGCAATCTACAATGCAATTACATTATATAGAAGATGCATTCCGTGTTGATAAAATGACCATTATTTGAGTCTTATACACTATCATTTATCTTGCATTTTTTTTTACATTGTCTCAGGGTTTGTTTTGGAATTTTGAAATTGATAGACCCAAATTTTTATTTCACACTCATTTTTCAAATAATAATTTACTGTTCTGTAATTTTCAATTCTGACTTCAATTTCTTGATTTTAAGTTTTCTTCTATCTTCGACCAATACTTCACTGCTACTTTTGTTGATACTCTTCATGCAATCACCACTGTCATGAGTCCATTGAAAGAAATTAAATTTTTTTTGGATACTTAGCATAACCCCAATAATAATGGCAAATGTTATTGTTTCATGGGTGTTGGGAGTTTACAGTTGCACCAATATTGCATCTCCATAGTAATTGTTGAATCCTTGAGTCTTGCCTGCATAAAAATACTCATGAAGATGGTGGAATGGAGCAATACTTAAATCTATTGTCAAAATATGCTCAAGATGTATCAATTAATTTTCTATCAGAAATTCCATCTATGCATGGAGCTCATTACGATTAGGAGAGACATATCTTTTGGCAATAACTGAGGAATATTAAGTCTTTTTCCCCCCCTATAGTTTGAGCAATTGCTGGTAGTTTCATGATACAAGAACACTGGGAAAAGGTAGATCATGCCATTCTAAGGATACGGAGGAATTTTGGGATTTATTCATTGAGCTTTAATGGATAGTTATTCCTCTGACCGATACGAAAAATACTGGTCTAATATCTGAGCTTAGCAAGGTTAGATAGGTTATTGTTAATATGGAAGGGGAATAACAATTTTCTAAAAGATTGAAGGGGAATAACAATTTTCCTTTTTACTACTTTGTTAGCATTTGCTGGTCAATTATGAGACCGCACGATATATTGTCTAGAATCATTTCATGCTCTGCTTGAATTTCAAATTCAGGGCACTTTAATGAGCTACCCTTATATATGTAGTATTTTAGAAGCTTGAACAAGAGAGGATTTGAATCTTGGGTTCCCTATTTAGGATAAGCCAAAACGGTTTAAAATGTGTTACGGGATGAGCAGAATCAAATATTGCATCTTGACCCTTGGAAATCCCCTGATCATGTTACTAGGATGATCATGCTCTTTGTGGTGATGGTTATTTTTTAAGCTCAAATTCCAGATGATTTCAAACCCTGGGTGAATTCTCTAAGGTTTTGTTTATCTAGTGCGTCTTCTTGTGAATGTAATGGCAATTTAGATATTTGTTCTTTGAGTTTTGCTCTGCTCTTGGCAATACGTTCGCTCAGGAGATGGCAGAGATTTTTGTTTGTACTTAAACTGCTTGGTGGTGGTGGAAAAAAAATTTTTCATTCACCAAAAGGAAAACGGAAAGCTCCTAGTCATTCATCAGTTGCTAATAGTATTGTCAAGTTAAGATTTTTGAAGTAATATTAAATGTTGGGCTCCTAAGGGCTTCTCCAACCGGACGCTAAAACACCAAGTTAGCGTCCAGTCCTCACTCCAACCGAGCGGCATCGGCTCCGCTAAAATAGCGGGCCGCTACAGTGTTGCGCCAGAAATGGTGCAACACTGTAGCGATGGCGCATTATTATTTTTTTTGTAAAAACTTGAAATGGAAGGTTTTTTATAAGAAGAAATACAGAAAAACTTTTTTTTTCTTTTGTTATTTATATTTGTATTAATAATATATGTTATTTTATATTAACTATTATAATGAAATTAGAGTATAAAATAATTATTAAAATAAAATTCAACAATAGAAGGAATATTTTAAATAGATAAAAATGTTAAAAGTTAAGAATAATAAAAGGAATATTCTTTTTGGTGTAACATTTGGTGTAATGGGTTGGAGATGGAATAGTGATTTGGTGTAAAAACTACACCAACTTGGTGTAAAAACTACACTATTTTGGGTTTTATGGTTGGAGATGCTCTTAGTAATTCTACTACGGGTTTCGACGTTATTTCATTGTGAACTAATTTTGATATTCAAAAATTCTCATACCATAAGTAGACTGTAGACGATCTATGGATAATTACGAAATAAACATAATTATTTATATAGCACGAGGCCCTTAAATACATTAGTAATCAAGCATGTACTAGTTTCTAGTGTTATTTATTGTAGATGAAGCAATTAGCCACTGTATTTCTTGTTGTTCTGAATTATTATTAGATCCTAAAACTGCAAATTTTAATTGAGTTGGCCAGCCAAACTGCAAATTACAAAACAATTGGGGATGCTAAACCTGGGTAAATCAAACTGTGGACATTAGCTCATTTAGAAAATGGTATATATGTTCTAGTTAATTATATCAAAGGCCTGTTTGGCAAACTCCTCAAAATTGGGTCAAGACTCATCCTGGTTAAACTTTGAGGTAAACTGGTTCCTTTATTTAATCCAAGGGAGGGAGGGATCAAAAAAAAAAATCATTTTAAGCTTTTTTTTTTAGCCTAAGAAAAATTGAACCACAATGGGCCTGATTTTTGCCAATAAAAAATAAACCAAAAACCAGGCCAAGTTAGCCTAGTTGGTCAAGTTTAGTCCTAACCCAGTTTTAAGAGTTCGTCAAAAGGGTTCAGAGCAAGGACTGTCTGTAGCATCATAGTCAATTTCGGTTGGTTGGTCAATTTCTGTCTCGACGCAGTTTTAAGGGTTTGTCAAACACAGCTTAGAGCAGAAAAAAAAACGTTAAGAGCAAGAACGATCTATGGCATCCTAGTCAATTTTCAAAATTTTATTAGCTCTTTCTCAAGTGAATAAAAAAAAACATTTTAGCCAACAAAGAACGTAAGAATTTTCTGCGAGCATCAAATTTCCAAAAGAGGAGCAAGGTTCCAATCCCAATAAACACACGCCCTGCAACTTGCAACAACAAATCAAACCCTGTCCCTGTCCCTCACTCACACGTCCAATCTCAAACAGTAAATTAAAATTAAAAGGGAAAAAGCAACCGGCCCCTTTCGCTACTCTCGATAAAACTGTAAAAGCAGCATAAAAAAAAATTAAAGAAATAAAATAAAATAAAAATCAGCATACATACCTCGGACAAATTTTCAAAACCAACTCATTTGAGATTTTATTCTCAAAAAACGATCCGTTTGACATTTATTTAGAGAAACCGATCTGGTTTCAGCACTGTAGTTGAAACCAGGTCGGTTTTTCTAAAAAAGTTTACGAAACTTCACGGGAGTTCAACTCCCGTGAAGTTTTGTTATGAGAAAAAACTTCACGGGAGTTCAACTCCCGTGAAGTTTTTGACATTTATTTAGAGAAACCGATCTGGTTTCAGCACTGTAGTTGAAACCAGGTCGGTTTTTCTAAAAAAGTTTACGAAACTTCACGGGAGTTGAACTCCCGTGAAGTTTTTTCTCATAACAAAACTTCACGGGAGTTGAACTCCCGTGAAGTTTCGTAAACTTTTTTAGAAAAACCGACCTGGTTTCAGCTACAGTGCTGAAACCAGGTCGGTTTCTCTAAATAAATGTCAAACGGGTCGTTTTTTGAGAATAAAATCTCAAATGGGTTGGTTTTGAAAATTTGTCCTTAGTTTTGACCTACAAGTCTATTAGACAATTTACGGTAGCTAGTCACCAACTATGTTGCCCCAAATAGATCATGGAAGCCAATGCGCTGTGCACTACATTCGGGGGTTTCAAACCCAATGATTGGCATTATTCGATCATTGATTATGTTGAAGTCTTCTCTTTTAGCCTATAAGAGGAAATAAGATTACTTATTTTAGACACTTGGCAATTTTACACACTTGATATATGCACTAGGCATTCAGCTAGAGACTTTGAATTTTAACAACTTCGTCAGTTCATCATCCAGAGAAGACTTCGACATCTTCAGAAGGGCTTAGGTAGCTATCAGTCAGTAGAAGATTCAACATTACAGTCGGACCGTCAACGGAGTACATGATTGATGCTTCATCGGCACACAGAAAAAAACCCAGCTAAAATACAAAATTTTCTTGTTTCTTTTAGTTTCTTTTGAGTTGTAATCTGTGTTAATTGTAATTTAAAAGATCTGAAACAATCATCTTTTTATATATATTGTGGTACCACTACTATAAATAGCTCTGCCACTGAATACCACTCATGCCAAATATGTTAAATAGTCATTAGGACTCTAGGTATATGCTTGTTTAGCGATACACGTAGTAAGCATCATTCTAAGGATACAAAAGCATGTACTATCTAGCATTACATAGACACTTACACGCCATCCTATCAACACTTACAGCCATCCTATCAACTTGTACAGTGGAGGAAATACAAACCTTAAGCAGCACTAGAAATATCAAGATCCGTTGACGGTTCTCACGCTTAATCAACTTATATCGTGTAAGAAATGCCGACCTCAACATGAGCAGCATGAGGAATGTTCAGCAACATTGACGGCTCTCTGCAGTTTTTGACAAGAAAAATATACACCCCAATGATTATCCTCCTCAAGAAATTCGATCCTCTCTGAGCAAAAAACTGTGATTTTCCCAAAATATACGTTGTTCCATGCTCCCTTGCATCCAGTAACTCTTGAAGCTCTTCCCTAACAGCCAAGCTCATCTCTGGGCTCTCTGGAGGCAACAAGAACCGAACCCTTTTTCTTATCTTTGAAGGTTGTTCATCATTCTGAAGTTTCTGAACTTCGACATCTACCGGTCTCTCACAAGTGGTAAAAGAATCATTTGCAGGCACGGTAATTAAAGCGTTACCACCATGAAGGTTTCCAGAGACAACCACTCGGCCCTCTGGAGACCAACACGAGGCTTCAGAGTTCCCATCATCCTGTGAAATGAATTCTCCAATACCATGAACAATTTGATCCTCAAATTCATTTATGTCCCTAATTCCGTCACGATAACCGTACCTCACAATGCATCGATAAACTCTATACTCTTTTGGTCCCATTCTTCCAATAAGCAACTGCATGCTTGGAGTAACCTGAGGTATTGGCATGGATTTGAAAGAAACAAAGACAATAACTTGGTGAAAGGCTGGAAGATTTGTCACAAAATGAGAGAAGAAAGCTGGAATTCCCTTTGTGATGTCAGTACAGATGAAGCCGATTCCTGGAACTCTGGAAACTCCTAGGTTTGGACCGAGGCCAATGAGCCAATCAATTGAGACTTTATTTTCCATATCAAGCTGGTACTTCTTCATGACTCCGTAGTGCCAGGACAGAATAATTATCAACAATACTTCTACAAAAACAATGACGATCCAGGCACCCCTCTTCATGTTCAGAATGCAGCCCAAGAAATAGATAGCCTCAATGGATCCAAAGAAGAGAAGAAAGCATGCAGCCAGTAATACCTTATTCCAGTACAATGCAACGATCAACGACATGAAGCAGGTTGTGATCAGCATGCCAATTATTATAGCAAGGCCTGAAAAGGGCATTGTTAGATTTGAGCAAGGAACAGAGAATTAAACACTGAGCACATTTACCTATGGCATATCCAATATGGGAAATACTCCCGAAAGCAAAAGCCAAAGCAAGGGAAAGAATCATCAAGATCCAGTTGATATCTGGAATGTAAACCTGCCCATGAATCTCACTGGAAGTGTGCACAACTTTCATTCTAGGCAAACAATCAAGTGCAAGACATTGTTTTATAATAGAGAATGTAGCTGTAATAGCTGCTTGGCTTCCCACTGCAGAAGATAGAAGAGAGAGCAATGGATAGACATGACGAAGATTTCCTGGATTTCCCATGCCAAAGTGAACAGGTATATTTCAGTAATAGAGATAGGTATGACAAAATCATTAGAAAAAGATGATAATAACAAAGAAGAATGACTCACCAGGTACACTAGTCCTTAGATGAGTAACATCATCTATTCCTTCTCTCTTCCAATTTTTAGATATATAAGCAGTTTGACCCAGGTAACACAAAATAAGTGAAGGATAAACGAGAAGGCTGAAAGCAATCTGTAATAATCAAGCTTAGGCGTCAGTAGGAAAATGTTAGAGAAAGTCAATAACAGAAAAAATATCTTTATTAGTAGGTTTCTTTTCTTTTTTAAGTTTTTAGAATTTATCATTTTGTTGCGAGTTGAACCACACAAAATAAGCCAAAAAATATTCCTTCAAGAAGAATCTTCCTAGAACATAACGTCAACTTAAAAGAAAAAAACAAAGAGAAGCACACGACCAAGCAAAACAAATGGTTTTTATTTTATCAAATCATGCCTTCGTTCATTGGGAGCACAGTGGAGTTTCTTCAGGCTTAGAGTATAGGAGGTTTCTCTCTGAGATCTAGTGATTCTAACAATGGATCAAGATTTGAAATTTAATATGGCTTCTTCACAAGGACAATATAATGTAAGAGATATAGAGTTTCTTTTCTAGTCTTTACTAAATAACCTGCAAGAAAAGGTGTCCATAAACCATCATCACTAATTCTGAACCGTCAAGAAAACACTGTTGTGACACGATCCGTTAGCTATCAGACAGCAAGCTGTCAATGTTACAACTGGATATCTATAGATATTGTGGGTTCTTTCTGACACTTCTCTAAAGAAAAGCTGAACCTCGTAGAATTCTTACACCGCAGAAGATGTCTTTAGCTTACTTCTTCAAACTGATACATGACTGACACATAGGACTAAACCCTTCTAGATCCTCTACTTTTTGATAGAGATTAAAATAATATTTCATCATCCAACATACAGAAATACAAAGTCAATGTCTGAAATGAATAAACTGGAGTTTCTTAACAAGTCTCAAATACAACAAGTCTGAGTAAAGGAAATGAGGCATACAGCCTTTACAACATCTAGAATATAGTCCTCAAATGTCTAACAATAACTATAATGGAGCTCCAAAATAAAACATAGCTAAAATAGATAGCTGATCACTAAAGTGTGTCGCCATCAACCTGCGACTCTCCGGGCTCCTGGCTAGTTACCTGAAAGGGGGAGGGACAACGAGCGTTAAAGCGCTAGCGAGCAACATCACAACCAACCCCAAGGGAGAGGGCTCGTTGTATATGAAAAATACAGTTATCACAAAATATATATATAATCAATTATCCTAAAAATAATGGGTTTTAATACTTAGGAAATTTCAACACGAGCATAGGTACGTCGAGCGAAATAATCCAAACAAGGAAACCCTCATGTATATACCTTGTATCTCAAATTGAAAATCCCTAAGTACCGAACCCGGAGTCTAATACATGAACAATAAAGAAAAGGCAACAATCCCATCTCTACCAAAAATCACAGTTTTGTCAAAGGTGCATAGTTACAATAAGTGTCATACCCAGCCTAGGTAGCTATCATGTCCCAATTTTATCAATATGTCGTGTTCCAAACTCAAATGTGAATCATGCTCAAGGTTTAGCAAAAATGTCCAACACATGGACTAAAAGTAATGCATGTCCAACACATGGACTGAATAGAATGCATGTTCAACACATGGACCAAGATGATAAGTATCCAACACATGGATTAATAATAATGTATGCTCAACACATGGATTAGAACAAAGAAGTGTAATTGTCACTAGCATATGTGGAAGGGTATACATATCCCACTCTTGCACGTGTTTCAATGTGCGGGTCTAAATTCGTGTCGAAAGTCAACCCTCATGTGTAGATAAGTCACTAACATCGCAAACTAGTGCTAGATAAGCGAGGCGAACACTCGAACACACCAAAAATATACAACAAAACAACAGTGGCTAAAACTGTGCGGCGGTCAACCACAGAGGCCACTCCGGTCGACCGCGCGCTGATCAGCAGCTAACTGTTCGGCAAAACAACCCGCGGTCGACCGCCGCTCCCACCGCGGTCGACCGCGCAGAGGGCAGATAGACTCTGCCCTTCTGTGCGCCCAGCGGTCGACCGCCGCGTCTGACGCGGTCGACCGCGAAGTAGACAGAAACCCAGATTTGAGTTTCTGTCAGCTTCGAAACACACACAACTTGATGATTTCTGTACTATTGTGAATCTAACATTTATACAAAGTACGTGCAGTGATTCGGACGACGGGGGAAGCTTGTGCCGAGATATATTAGACCATTTCAGATTCTAGAGTGTGTTGGAGTTGTGTCATACAGACTAGATCTTCCAGCATCGATGTTTAGTATACACAATGTATTTCATGTTTCTATGCTTAAGAAGCACTTACATGATGAGGAGCAACAGAGAGTACTGGATGCACTAGAGGTAGAGCTTCAGGAGGATTTGACTATTGTCGAGATTCCGGTTTGCATTCTTGTCAGGGAGGATAAGAGACTTAGGAACAAGGTTATCCCTTTAGTGAAAGTTCAATGGAACCGAGGAGGCATTGAGGAGATTTCTTGGGAGCGCGATGAGGACATGCGTCGCGACTACCCACTCCTGTTTGAACAGGTAAATAAAATTTTATGATATGTATTTTATATTATGTTTACATCTTGGGTTATATTTACATTTAACACTAAAATGTGAATATTTTTGCTTAATTCTTAATCTTTTGGAATACATGGTATATATATGGGGGGTTCCTTGTTTGGATTTTTCGTCCGATGTACTAGTTCTGTTTAGTTAGGGGTTAAGTGGGAATATCCACATTTTAGATTGTTAAGCATAGATATTGCTAGTGATTCATATCTAGGGATTAATGGTATGAGATGTGTACAGGAAGGTTTCCTCATCTGGATTATCCCCTCTTAGTGCTTTTCTCATATTATTAATTCCTAAGATACGTTGCGGAATTTCGAGGACGAAATTCTTTTAAGGGGGGAAGAATGTAAAACCCCGTAAATTTGTATATTTTGTGATAAATGGTGATAAATATGTTATATGGTAAAAATAATATATTTTGATATTTGAGTATGATAAGAATTGATTTAAAATCAATTCAATGTATGTTTGTGAATATATGAGTCTATATGCACAAAACATGCACAAAGGCAAAGAGTGAAAATCTGGAAAATATGACCAGTTAAGAGTTTTTATAATTTACATACTGATACAGTCAGAATCTGAGAAAATATAAAAGACCAAAGTTATAGGTCTCTTTAGCAGCTTTCCAACGAATCTTAGATCATCTCATTCTGAGATTGGATGAGAAAGTTACAGCCTTTATACTAAACCCCAGTCTGAGCATGACCCAGAACCCTGCGCAGTCGACCGCCGTGGTCAATGCGGTCGACCGCTGGGCGAACCTGTTTCTGTCAGTTCTGTTTCGGGTTGGGTTTTGTTTATACCGAATCCAGTTATTACTCTAGGTATATATACTCGTTTTAAAACTCTCAAAACCCTCTTTTGAACCCTAATAGCCTCAGCTCCCTTCTCTCTCTCTCTCAAACCCTAAAAACCCTTTCTTTGGTGATTCTTGGAGGATTTTGGAGAAACTGATGTGAGATCCATTGGTGTTCAGTGAAGGAGGATCGTTCTTCATGTTTTTGGGTGTTTATCAACCCCCCTCAGGCGAGTTTCATCTCGCCCAATCCCTCACCCAGTTTTTAAATGCTTTTACATGATGTTTTCATATGTTTTTATGAGCCTAACATGCTAGTTTGAGTATAAAAAGTTGATCTGTATATTGTATGTTACAAAAAAATATGTTTTCAGTTAATAAATATCACCCACATTTTCCTAAGTGCATATCTAGATCTGGTGTTTATTCTAACAAAAGATTTGAAAGAAGAATAATTGTTTTCAAAGGTTTTCCACATATAGATGCATGTTTTCAATTGTTTCATCTTGTCTATAGTGATTAGACTATTTATATCTTGTTTCAGATATGCTATATCACATGTTTAGGGTTTCTAGTATGCATAAACATCACACACGAATATCGAGATCGAATTATATAGAACAAAACCTAGAAAATAGGGTTTTACCACTACGCGGTCGACCGCGATGGGCGCGGCGGTCGACCGTGTGTCGTGCACAGTCAAGGATGAGTTTCTGTCATGATCGCGGTCGACTGTCGATCGCGGTCGACCGTGCGTGGCACGGCGGTTGACCGCTGGGAAGCATCGAGACACAGTAAGTTTCTGTTCTTTGTGCGGTCGACCGCGCTGGGCGTGGCGGTCGACCGTGAGTTAGTTTTTTTTTTTTTCTTTGATCTGTTGTGCATACGTCGTGTGGCTGGCGAGATTTCTAGGTTGTTTAGGATTATTAAACACTGAGATTTGTGTACATGAGTTGACTACAGACTAGAGACTAGTTTATTCACCAAGACATGAGAGTGAATAGTGTATACATGTATGTTATAGAGATAATTCATCGCAGTCCATGTGTTGGACGTTTAGTTATTGTGGCCCATGTGTTGGACCTCGATCATATAGTCCATGTGTGGGACATTCATTATTTTAGTCCGTGCGTTGGATATGTAGCTTGCGGCCCATATATTGGACCTGTAGTATTTATAGTCCATGCGTTGGACCTACATCATATATAGTCCATGTGTTGGACATGCGTTATGTTAAGTCCATGTGTTGGGACCTCTCCTATTTTAGTCCATGTGTTGGATATTTATTACATGCAGTCCATGTGTTGGACATTCAGTGGGATTTTGCCTTATCTAACATATAGTAGATGTAGTTCATGAGTTGAACAAGTATTCCGGTGTCTGACAGGACATTTTTGATATAGTTTGAGATGGAGGTATTGCTCCATGTTGTAGTTTGGATTTGATATTTAGAGGAGCTGTCTTTCATCATTGCTCCACAATGTAGCTTTTGGATTTGGTATTTAGGGATTTACATATTTAGAGGAGCTGTCTTTCATCATTGCTCCACAATGTAGCTTTTGGATTTGGTATTTAGGGATTTACAATTTGAGACATATGGTATATACATGAGGGTTTCCTTGTTTGGATTATTTCGCTCGACGTACCATACTCGTGTTGTAAATTTTTAAATATCAAACCTCCATTTATTTTAAAGTAGATGATTGTCTATCTATATGTATTATCAGTTATTTTCTATCCAACTAGCCCTTCCCCTTGGGGTTGGTTGAGATGTTACTCGCTATAGCG